TTACTTCAGGGATCAGGCTAAACACAGCATTCTCAATCTTGCTATCACTTACATCATGTTTAGTTTCATAGCAAAATGTTAGGAGACTAACAAGACAGTCACAGGTCAGTTTTCATTATAGCTGATCACTTTTGTCTTTGGGAGACTGCAAGAAGATCAGCTACTCCTGATATAGAGAGACCGGCAATTTGAGCAATGTGATAGAACTATTGAGATTTGGGAAGGAGAGACAGTGGAGAAGCAAAAGACTCAATCCTGTGTATTAGTGTGTGATGCTCAATCATCATGCAGAGAGGCAAGTGTCTGAGAAACCAGAGAATGTTGTTCGTTTGGGAAGATAATATAACTAGCTTGTTGCTCTGTGACTTTGTGAACTGTGGTGGAGACATACTTTAAATGACATATACAGGGAACAGTTCTTGATCCCTCCTACTGATATGAAAAGGATAGATGAAGGGAACCAATCTAGTGGGTCAAAAGACTAGCACAGCTCCAGTGGGGATGGAGTTGCAAGTTGGGACCTCTTCTCTCTCTGACATCAGGAGGGTAATACATAGCTATGAGGTAGGCTTGATAGCAGATGCGTACTTCCTTTATTCCTTTAATGGGAACCTGTGGAAAAGTCATGGGCTTTGTAGAATATGAAGGTAAGTGCTGAGAAACTGGCCTTAGTTTTCTGAAGGGTTGGAAATCAGTAGTGGCAGCTGGACGGGAAGGCCTCACATTACCTCCCTTCTCGTTAAAACTTCTGTGGGGTTATTTGAGGTGTAGTTTATGAAAAGCTGTGCAGTAGGTACCTCTCCAGTCAACCTCTGCTTGGTTGCATCCCACTATTTGACAAGCAGTGTGCTAAAGCGTCTCTCAGTACAAGGTCAGAGTAATCTTTTTTTATGGAGTTTTACGTGAATGCTTTGCCTTGGGATTGTTGTTTCTCCATGCATAAATCTTTATTATACCAACAGCCTGCAGCCCCAGTGAAGCAAAGCAAAACTCATTTTTATTCTTTGTATTTATCACCACAGTGAGAGAACTCATTTGAAAAGGAGCTGTGAGAATTTCCAGCAGGTGTGGTGGGGGTTTGGGTGCTGTGAGCCTTCAATGGGCTTATGTTTCTCCGTTTTAAATTTGAATGGGGTATGCCAATTGGGCATCATTCCCTTTGGGATGATATTGAGGATGGAAGTGAAAGTGAACTTCTGTTGGAAGGTGCTGTGAGAACAGAGGAGCAAGTTGTGCATTTGTCCATGGATGCGCTTTAGTCTGGTGGATCAGAAGATGTGCTGATGTGTGAGGGCTATGCTTTGCAGCCAGCTCAGTCTTATGCATCAATTTTTACTTTCTGACAAGTTGGTTTGGGTTCAGGTAGGGTTCTTCTTTAGAGGAAGATGATAAATGTGCTGACATGTAAGTGTTTCTAGCTTTTACCAGGTGGTGAATTTGAAGCCTCCACCTTGAGACTGACCTCACTTAATTTACCTTTACAGTAAAACATTCAACACGTGTCTCTACTCTCTGCACACAGTGGGATTACTAATACACGTTAGTTATCTGTAATATATTAGTATTTTGTCAAAGGAGTGCAAATAGTAAGAAAGATAAAACTAGATGTTTTATTTAAAGACAAAAATATTTTTCTGTGGAGGAAAATCATAATCCTACTTATCTGGGTTTTGACTTTCTGAACAGTATACTTGATTTTGTTTCACTGTATGATTTCCAAAATCTGCAGTGCATGCAACTGAATTCCCACCAGTAATAGCTTGGAGGAACCTTGGAGCCTGTGTAGGGAAGGACTTAGATATGGTACATAACCATCACTGAAACAATTTATTCTGAGATTTCCTAAATTTTGAGTGCTTGACTTCACAGTTTTAGCATCTTTTATGATGGCAATGTCATACCTATTTCTCTTGTATGAACAGAAGAAGGCAGGAGCATCATCATGGCCTCGCCAGGAGATCCAGCCCCCAGGCTTCTGCTGCTGGACACATCAGCATAGCTGGCAACAGCAGCTGCCTGCTCTGGTCCTGAGATGAGGGATTTTAGCAGAGTTGTATGACTTGGTGTTACAAGGAAAACACTCTCAAGTCATGAAATTTTGCCTAATTTATTGCCAATTAAGATAAACTTTTAATTACTGATTCTGGTATTGAGAAATAATGACAAACGATTACATGCTGGAGAAAACACCTCAACTTCCCTCTAGACACCTTTCCTCCCCCTTGCCAGTTTCCAGTCCACTCCTTGCACATTATACTCAGTCATGAGGGTTAGTGTGGGATGCTTTCCTTTTTCTGTCACTCTTTGTTTCTTGCTCTTTTTTTTCCATGGCTCCAGCATGGGGTCCTCCACAGGCCCCCATCTTCTCAAAGGCATAGCTCCTCCTGGGTATCCACATGCACACGTGTCCCCTGCCACTGCACAGCCCTTGCTTTGTTCTCTGGCATCTCCTGCCCTGATCGGCTACTACCAGTAGGTCCAGTTTCTCTAAAACTGGTAGCCAGTTCGTATCCTAAACCAAACCATTACCTATCTGCTGTTAAAAACATTCTTCCTCAGGCTCCCCTTTCTCTTGCAGTCATTCCCTGGCTTCATCTGTACTATCTCTGTGCTGATGAGTGCAGAGAAGGGAGGAAAGCTTCCTTCAGAGCACAGGAAAAACAGGTCCCTGAATTTTACTCCAGTTCCTGGCCGTACCTGCTATTCCCGGTAGTGTCCTGTGAAGTGGGACTGGAGGGCGTCAGCTCTGAGGGGACAGCAGAAAGACATTGCACATATCTATGGGTGCCACAGGAGTGGGGAGGATGCTCTGGGGAATGGTTTGTGAGTTGTTGGGTTACGCATGAGCTGCAGGAAGGATATGAATAGGCTTTTTGTGCTTGTAGACTTTGCAGGTTTTAATTGCTGAACCCTCTCGTCTCTAATGGATGTGTAAAATGCAGTTTTTTGAAAGCTAGTAACTTTCCCACAAAAATCCACTCATAGTTTGTAAGACAAAAAGGCACGTGCCTGAAATGGAGCCACATTTTGTTTCAGGTCCCTGCTCTAAACACTGGAGCATGAGCGGATTTCAAATTAAGCCACCAGAAATATAACCTGAGCAGTATAACCTACTTTGCCATGCTTCATTCTTACGAGTAATTGAAATGCTATTTTTGAAGTTCTTCCTAAAGCTTTTATCATTTAGGCAGAAAGAAGCTCACAATATATAAGCATAGACAATTAAGGTTTGGCAAAATTATAAGATGACGAAATTAGAGTACTGTGGTAGGAAATGCTCATCACTGTTTGTAATGGGCAGGAGTCCTTCCTTTGTTCTAGGAATTACCTAATGTAATCCAGGCTATGCCAGTGAATTTCACAGAGAGTTTGCATGCACATTTTGGAAAAATCATGCTTTATGGATGATCAAAAATGTACTCCACAGCCAAATAAAATATAGAAAAAGTGTCTGTGCGTCTTTGCAAAGGGTGATGAGCTTTGTCCTGTTTCAATTAATGCTGTGCAGCAGACTAAAATTGTAAATGTAAAAAATAAGCAAGCTTCACCAAGACTGGTTTGCAAAGCTGTACAGAAGGTCGGTGTTGGATGGTAACGATGTGGAAATCAGCTTGGATCACAAGTGTGAGTGAGTTTTGTGATGCAAAACTGGGCAGTAATAGGATCCAGTATTAGGGTCAGGCAGGTGTGAAGATACTAGTGATGAAGATTTGAAAATAAACTTTAATTTGAGACTCGCAAGGCAAAATGCAATGAGTTCTATAGACAGTGTGATTGTACTAGTGGAGAAAGGTATTTTCCCCTTCTTGACCTTTTGCCCTCCAGTCAATCACAGAAATCCATAGGTTCCAAGGTTTGGTTTTGACTTACCAGGCAGTGAAGAAGCTCTGATAAGGCTTTGTAGCTATTAAACTTTAATAGGTTTGCAGCCTTGTGGTTGAAGCTAAAGAGATGGTAACTGTTTTTTTCTCTTGGGCATAGGATTTCAATTAAGTTAGGGTTTCTCAGTATTAGAATTCCAACCTTGCAGGCTGCGAAGTGTATGGAGTCTGTGTTATAGGGAGCAGGATCTTTGCCTGACCCTGAAGTTTCCAAATTTGTTCTCCCTCCTTTACCCATCTTTGCAAAACTCAGTTTCATTTAATGCTCTGATAGCACTTGTTCTAAAGTCCGTGCAACTGCTGTGTTGACATTGCTGCAGATCTGTGCTGCAGACCCATCCAGCATCTTAACAAAAAGCAGGGGATACGGTTTTTCCAAAGTGTTTGGCATTGCCAAAAGAGTTCGTCTTACTGAAGTCGATCAGAGCTGAGGGCTTTAGAGAATCTACCTGAAATCCCCGCGTTAGAAGTTTTTTATCCACTCCTTTGAGCTTTGGACTACTGCCTTTTCCATGGCTTATGAGGAGAAAAAGAGATGGACAGACTTTGCTTTGATGTCTTCAGTACAAATCAGCCTCTTTCACTTGAAACCTCGGGGTGATTTGTGTAGCTACCCAAGACTGCTCCTGCTAAAAGGAGCTATGAATTTCTGGTTTATGGACCAGGCTGTCTTCTCTTGCAATGGGAAGTCTAAGCTGTGGATTTCACTGATATCTTGTTAATTGGAAAGATCTGATGGAGAAAAAAATAGAGAAAACCTAGCCTGGGAGGGGTCCTCGAGGGTTAATGGCAAATAGAGCACTGGACTGCTGGGGGGACAGATCTTAGTGGGGTTTTATGCTGTTCTATTGAAGTCAGTGATATAAATGAGCCATATGTATGCCCAGATACTGTTGTGTTTCCTGACTAGTCCTTTACCTGCTTTTCCAGTTGCTGCATGTCGCATGCCTTCCGTTCTGCTGTAAGACAGCAGCTTTGCATTTTGCTGCCTGTATGACTCCCACTCCCCATTCTGTGAGATCTGCTGAATGTACTTATTGTGCATCCAGAAAAAACTGAAATAGATGTTGATGGGTTTTGCTTTTTGTTTTTTTCCCCTGTCCCTTCTTCTCTTGACAGTTTTTTATCATGCTGTTAATTATATTTCTGTTGGAGCTCACTGTTGTGATTCTGTTCTTCGTCTACACCGACAAGGTAAGTCAGATTCTTCATTTTTCTTTCCCCTTCAGCAAATTTTTATGCTCCTTTTCCCTATAAATAAATCATGAAGCACTTGGCTTGGTATGCACATCATGCTTCTGTCTTCCTTGAGACACCCCTCTCAGAAGGAGCGCTCTCAGAATGCATAAACAGCCTTGCAGGACTGGGCTCTCTTGCTTGCTCATGTGTACAACTCAAGGTCACAGATACTGCCAAGTGCATCTGCCATTTAAAAAAAAAAAGAAAAAGAAAAAAACCAAACACCACCACCCCCTCGCCCCCCCAAAAAAAAGCAAAGAAGCCAAAGAGCCTTACTAGGAACATTTAGGAAGAGGTAATCGTCAGAATGAATAGGGTTTTTTAAAAATATGTTTGCAATTGAAGAGCCCCATTAATGTTGTTACAAAGGAAGTCTCCTTAGCATAGGCAAAGGCACACAATTCATGATGTTTAAAAGTTGCTCTTTGCAGCACAGGTCTACTTAGATTGTAGTGGAAAGCCAAGGAAAATGTATAAAAGTTTAATAAGCAAAGCTTTTGTTTGTGTTTTCAGATTTTACTTATGTTTGACCTTTGTTCCTGTGCTTACTTGGTATTTCTGTTGTAAGGGCAAGATTGCCTATCTGAATTATTTTTATCCTTAAAATAGTTTTTCTTAAAAAAAAAATAATCTTACATGAATAAACCAAAAACCAGGGCATAATTGTACATAACCTGCCTATTCAATGAAAATTGTCAAAGTCTCTTACAGCTGAAGGCTAAGGGAGCTTGAAAATCACAGGGTAGGTGGGAAATTTTTGCCATGAATTAACAGTCATCAGGTACGTGACCAGCTTCTTCTGGAAAGGAAAGACAAAAAAGCAAAAAATAAATAAAAATTAAAAATAACTATACAACATATCAAAATAAAATGAAGATTTTAGACTTAGACTTATTAATGGTAGACAGTTATATTCAGTATGTTTAGCAAAAATGTGGACAAGAATGGGTAAGACGTCAATATTACCTTCTAGAAAGGCTCTGAATTAATGAACACTAAGTGATTGTCAGGTGCACTTCTGAAGGACTGAAAAGAGCTGGATTGCTGGACAGCATACGGTAGACGGAACATGACATTAACTTGCAAGGTAATTAAAGTAGAAGGGGAAATTTATAAATACTTGTATGCATTATTGGGTTCTGAATTACTTGTAACCTCTTGGGAGAAAGATCTACACGTCATACATGACAGCTTAATAAAGGCATCTACTTAATATGCAATGGGCCTCCAAAAGCCAAATACAACACTTGGCATATATTTAGGAAGGGAATCAGTTAGGAAATATTATCATGTCATTGTATAAATTGATGAACCAGCCTCACTGTGAATTTAATATTGTGTTTTGGTTACTTCATTTCAGTGAAGGGTAACAGAAATGAATAGAAGTGCTAGAAAAGTGGGAGAGAGCAGTCATGAAGAGGGATGTTGGAGACTACCCTGATTCAGTTTGGGAAAGGAAAGGGATCCTCTGCTTAAGAGATCTTAAGAAGAGAAGTGATAGCAGTTTCTAAAATAATGACATACTAAAGACCTGTCCTGAACACAGAAGAAATACTTGAAAATAATAAGGAGTAGGTTTAAAAGATAAATGTTTCTGCTTCTCCACATCATCATCTCATAGAATTCCCTGTTGCTGGCTGTTGTTGAGGCTGATAGCTCAATAAATGTGTGAGTATGGAGGAAAGAAAAAAACCCAATGAAACATTTTTATTCATAAAGCAATTGGTGCTGTTATGTTGACAAGTGTGTTGCAGAGAATGTTGGTCCACACTCTTCAGAGCTAAAAATAGTGAAAAAGTGTCAGGAACGATTCCTTACCTCCTTCAGCCTATTGGTTTGCCGTGGTTTTTATTTGTTCTTAATAAACAGATCAGGAAATTTGACTTTCCTGTGAATTGCGTACTGTAAGTTGGTGCAGGAGGTACACTACAGTTGTCTGTAAGATCAGAACAGAGTCTAAAATGTGGGTCCAGTTCAAGTGCAGTTTTACTGACTTAAGAAATCGCTGTAGTCTGTGTATTGTGGATGATCAAATTTGAGGCTCTTAGTATTCCTGTATGACTTTAAATCCATGGTCTTATACTGAGAAAATCAATAGTTTGTCTCTGTGTTACACTTACAGTCCTGCCTACAGAATAAATAAAATAACAGCAGCCTAACATCAGTATTTTCATACAGCATGCTTAGAATTTGTGTGCTAGCTTTCCTAATGTGAAGAACGGTATTGCCACGTGTACTGGTATGAGGAGGTAGTTAACCCAGACAAGTCCACCACAGTAATTCAGTTAATGCAGTTCCTTGGAAAATCTGTGAAAGAACACTTGCACATCAGAAGAAAGTAACATTAATTTTGTGTGCAAAAGCAGAAAAGGACTCAGCAGATTAAGACTTTGAGGGTCCTGTATCATTCATTCTTTTATATATATGTATATATATATATGTATAAAATCAGAAGTTTTTTCAAGTACCTGGTAGCCTTCTATTAATTAGAAGTGTTTGTACATGTAAAATTCTTCACAGGATAAAATGGAGTCCAACAGTTATTTTCTGTTTCTGGCTTGATAAGAGGTTAAATAATGGACTTCTGGCAGTTTTCACTTACTCCCACTTTGTCAAGTAGAAGGATTTTGGACTGGATACTTTGACCCTTGGTACAGAGTTTAATCAATACTCTCCTCTTTCCGTGGAGCTGGGTGGTATTATTACCCTGTTTAGGTGCAGAGGCAGGAGCAGAGAGAGTTGCCCACGACTCTGCAGGCAGCTGGGGCCAGTTCTAAATCTACAGCTCTTGGTGTTTTGGCTGACAGCAAGGGATATGAGAGACTGAGCTGTGCCGGTGGCAGGGCTGGGTATTGCAGCTGACTTAATAGCACTTGTCCAGTGACTGCATGTCCGTTTTGTTCCTTCTGCTGTAGAATGGACACAGTAGCAAGTAGGTTCTGGCACAGTGGTATCAGCCACAGAGTGAGTGTGCATCCTGGTGCATATGGACACAACGCATGGGCTCCCAAGCTGTGAAGAAGTCTCTCTGTATCCATTGCTGGGACTGTTGCTTTAGTAGCATGTTCATTTTTAAAAAGTATCAAGACAGAAGTTCTTTACAGCCGTGCACAGGTAGGCTTTTGGCATAGCGATTTTTTTCTTTTGCTGTGGAAGAGTGTGCAGCTATGGAGGTGGACAGGACAGGCTGCTGGGACTCAAGGCCGCCTAGACTGACCCGTTCTCATTCACCAGCTTGGGAGAAGCCCAGTAATTGCCTCTGCCTCTTGTTCTAGAGACTCGGCATCAGCCTCTCTGAGCTTTTAAGCAGCCAACGTGCTCCCATGCCCTAGAATGTCATCTTACTTTTTCTTAGTTGAAAAATATATGTCTTGATCTCATGATCAATGCTGCCCTGGACTTTACAACTCTTTCTCTGAACTGGCTATGTTGTCTAATGTTATAAAGAGAGAGGGGTTTGGGAGAAAGTTCAGGAACACGTGATCTGGGAAGGAAAAGGGGTATTACCTTACTTCTTGGAGCTGTACTGTGGATCGCTTTGGCAGGGCCTGACCTCACAACTTGTTCGCTATTCCTCCAATTGTCCTGCTTGGTTACATTGCGAAATATGAATCCCTCGAGTTCTGCAGAAGTGAAATGTGGGCTGTGTGGAAACAGGATGAGGAAATGCATTTCTATGGGATGGTGGTCAGGAAAAATACATAGAACTTTTATTTTGTCCTGGCTGTTCCCAAAGTAGCAGTGTGACTGGTTCATAGGCTGTCTTCAGCTCAAAATGGGCACCTGAGGCACTTGGGAGCTCCTCTTGGTGTTTGTGCATTTTCATATGTAAGCTCTCAAAGTGTAGCTTTTTATTTTTTTGAGAACAGAAGTGTCAGCCCAAGAGGTGTGGGTATTGAATAGAGTTTGTGTGATTATGAGAACTAAGGCAAGTTATAATCACTGAGAGAACACTATTTGTGTATATGAGAGAACAGCAGGGTCCTATCCTGTCAGAGTCTGGATACTTCTTATAGCTCTCAACACCAGATTGGACCCTGTTAGAATATAAATCATGCTAATAAAATGCATAGTCTTGTACCAGTTCTAACTTGTATAATCTTTCTGGTTTTAGCATCTGTATTTATTTTTACTGTGATGATTCTCCTGGAGGCACAGAAAAAAAAGTCCATATTTACTTTTTTTGCAGCTGTAATACATTATTTTTTTCAGTAGGTTTATTTGTTCAGATGTCTGCATTTTTTCTGATTTATGGGCAGAGCTAGGGTGCAACTGTTTAATGCACACAAATGGAAGAACATAACTAAACCACCATAATGTCCTTTTTTTTTCTTTTCTTTTTGAAATGTCAAACTGAATAATATAAGCCAGTTTAAGGAACAAAAGCACTGAAGGATCACTGACTATAATATTTGATTATGGGAGCAGTTACCGCTATTGGCAACTCAAAGTTAAGACCAGAATTTTCCATAAAGATTAGACTGTTAACTCACTTGGGGTCCCTGTGAAAATTACAACCTAAATTCCATGCCTGCTTTTAGCTGTGTTGAAAATGGCCCCGAGAATGGTAGAGGACTGAAAAATAATGGCTACTTCTGTTTTTCATGAGATGTGTGAAAATGCTCATTTTCCATGGCGCAGTAAATTGTAATGAGTTCCTGTATAGCTTTTACTGCTAGTTTATAAAGATTATGGTCTGTAGATTGATGCATTTCTTGTTCTGTTTCTCAAAACATTTTACAGATTATTGTAATTCCTGATTGATATTTTGCCTTGTCCCATACAGATTATAGACAGCAGACTGGAATGTATTGGGTATGATTTCTAGCATAGTTCAGTCCTCGCAACATCTTTCACATTTGGCTTTAAAGACAAAGCAGAAAAACTGAATCTCTTCCACATTCTGCACTCATAAGCAGTTGCTCACAGAAGTGACCTGATGCTGCTGAGCTGCT